CCCTCTTAAAGCATTTCCTATCAACTACAACTCCTCTAGCCACCAACATCTATTGAGTACCCCGCCACCAATATTCTACTTCCCTTATCAACATGTATATTGCATAAGCAAACTTTGTTTCATTCGTACAACCCAACATCGTAAAGATTTTCTCCATCTTGCAAATCCAATGATCAGCCACTTCTAGGATCTGCATCTCCCCTGAACTGAGGAGGATGACATTTCCTAAAATCAGGTAGGTCCTTACTCTCCTATCACCCAACTAGTCTTGTTGCCTCAATTGCAAATTTGTTCACCTCCACTTGATTAAAGTGGACATTCTATTGTTGCATAGCCATGGCCATCATTTCCATGCCTAAGTTATCTAATCATATTGTGGCCTAACTATCTTCTATAAATATCAATAATTTTGTTAAGTAACACTCGACAAACAACAACAACCACAACATATACAACTTACAACTACACAACAGAAGCTTTGTTAGAAAAGATGGCTTTATCCAAGAGGGGGTGAATTGGATATTTAAAAATTTATTTTTAGGATCTTTAATTTTCAAAAACTTTTCTAAAATCTTTCCAAAGAAGTCTATTGAGTTAGATAGAATAGGATGTAATATTGAGTATTGATTTCTAAATTTAAGAAAAAATTATGTGTTGAACCATATATGATATGCAAGATTCAAATATAATAGATTTAACACATGCAATCAATGTTAACAAGAACTCAAATAAAGAGTATAAGGATAAAGAGAAATGACATAAGGATTTATACTGGTTTAACCACCACTATTATGACCTACATTTAGTCCTCAATCAACCTGATTGAGAGTTTTCACTATCTTTAGATTTAAAGTATTACAATTATACACACATGCAATAAACTCCTAGAATCCTAAAGATAAACCCATTTCTTGAACCCCAAGAAGTGCCCCCTGTAGTCACCCACTACAAAACCTTTAATCTTAAGAAACCTACTTAAGAACAATGATAAAAAGAGTTATAGAATGAATTCACATAGATATAGAATCAATTAAAGAGGTGAATTAGATTCAAAGTAACTTGGCCTTTCTCTCTAGTTGGGTGATGATGTTTCTTGAACCCTTTCTTGAAATTACTCACAAAGGATCAAAGGATTCTTTCATAGGGAAAATAGAGAATTTCAAAGAGTCCTTTTTGCAAAAGATTTCACAAAGTTACAAGTATTTCATATTTTTAAGTTTTGAATTCAAAAATTGATATTTATAGAACTCTTTGGATAAAATAATTAATTATTTTTTTGGATAATTGACTATTTTGTTCTTGGTAAATCTGGAAACCAATCAAGAACACTATAATCAATTATTTACTAGAAAAATCGATTATTATAGAGAACTATCTCTAAAATAATTGATTATTGCACATTGATAATCAATTATTATAGTGAGTTTCTTAGAATGAGAAAACACAATATCAATAATCGATAATTTCAAGTGGATAATCGATTATTTTGAGTGACATGCTCAAATTCTCAATTTTTTTAAGTTAAAAATAGTTTTAAAATGTTTTCATAGTTAATCATCATCTAACATGAAATATAAGACTAAGTTACTTACAATGCATAAAACAAACATGCCTAACAAAGCATAAACACACATCAATACAATTTGCACTTTCTTAAATATGAGAGAACCTCTTTGTAATAATCAAAACATTAACAAAAATTAAGTCTTCATCTTGAGCTTCGTCAACAAGCACAATAGGTCCACCCCCACAAAGTGTCCCTAAAGAGACTTAATTAGGCTATAATACTATAAAAGTGTAACGATGTGATAGGTCACTACACTAACTATAGTGTAGTCTCAACATAACGGTACAAATAGACAACATCAATTAACCTAAGGTTCTCATGCAATAGTTACCTAATCATCCATGATATTTATACATGTATCGAGCATAAACATAAAAATTTCAAGTATACAACTCCGTTATAGGATTAGATACATACTCTGTACAAATATAAAGTTTATATAACTATTTACAAAAGACCCTTACTCACCGGTTAAGCGTCTATACAACAATTGTGTCACATCAAAGTGACACCACCAAAAAAAACCATCACAACATGACCCTCCAACAGCTAGACATGCTAACCTGTTAATCCTTCCCAACTTTGATACAAAGTATGATCATTGTAGTTCCAACCATAAGAAAAATAAGTAAGGGTAAGCTTGTGAAAAGAAACAACATACACCAACAACATTAAGTAGTAACTTAAAGTGGCTTAAACAACATGGTCCATCAACCATACAACTTCAACTTGTCATCAAGTACAACACAAAAAACTTACAACATAATACAACTCTTCAAATTCAACTCAACAACATATTTAACATAAGCAACAATAAACAACTAATGTGTCGTCATACATATCAACTATGGAAATCTCTTACAACAAAGATGAGTAGTTTAAGTGGCTAGACCTTATCGAATCAAAGTGTTTGGCCTATCGCAACCAAGTCAGGTATAGACAACTTTAGACCTCTTAGGAAATCTATTTGACAACTTAATTTGATTTCTTAGGTTTCTCCACTTAAACTAGGAAGTCTAGTACTCTGTCAAGGTAGAATAGTTTGGGTATAAACCTATCACGACCTTATCTTGTAACACTAAGACACCTATAGGATTAACTTATCGACTACCTTCCAAATACTATGCCCTTCTAATACGTGGTTAGGGACTAAGTCCGCGACCTTGTACTTCACTTGGTTGTCACTTTATACGCATATGTCTTAACTTTGGCCACTTACGAATACCACATATAAAACCTAAAGAAGACAACTTAAAAGAACTACCCATTCAAAATACAAATTACTTACTAAAGGATTTCAACTCAGGCTCTCAGGGCATCGTAACTTATATCTACATAATGAAATATTTTAGTTTCTAAGATAACTTTTACTCCCCTCTAGTTTTTATGTATGTCAACTAAGACATGTATCTATATTATGTGCCTAACAACTTATCAACTTAATCAATTATAACAACATACAACTTCACAAACTAATCATTTATTAGTTTTCAACTTAGAAGTCTAAACATCATCATATAGCTAGTATATCAACCTAAAACATAATGAATTATCAATATACAACTTAATCATCATCTTTCATTCATAAAACAACTTAAACATCACTAAAAATCATGCAACTCATGCTCGACCCCATCCCATGGATGTTTGGCGCCATTGAGGTAGGAGACTTCTTGTCTCGCTCATGCCCAATGCCAAACTACACGTGCCTAGCATGGTTGAGGTAGAAAGTTTCACACTTTCTCACGCTAAATGTGGCAAAACCCATGCCCGACCCCAATCAAGTAAAGGGTCTTGACTTGATCCACACCCAACACCACTCCTTTGATGCTTGACATGATTTCAATTCGAGACGATTCTCTCTCTTCATGTCTAACATTATTCAAATTAACTCTGATGTGACCAAATTAGAGATGATTCTCTATCTAGTGGTGGAACTGACTTTCTCCAAAAAAAAAAAATCTCTTGTTTACAACAAAATTTTCATTATCTGATCCATTCCCTTTTTCTTTAGCTAACTCTTAGCCATTAATCTCCTCTTTTTTAGGTGTTATTGGACAATAATTTAACTGCTCTATTCTTTGAAGATCAAATAAATATTTTATATTAGTAATATATTTATAAAAATATAAAAATATTTATATTTATCATTTTGTCTAAGGGAAATAAAATATTAAGGCTCACATTGTGATTAGATAATCACTTTTTGACCATTTTTTAACTTTTATATTTCTTTATTAGGTTATTGCTACATTACTAATTTACATCATTTATGAAGATGCCATTTCATGTCATCATCAGCTATGAGATAAAATTATAGTTTTAAATATTAAAAATATCAAAATTACGTAACTGAAAAAGGAGAAACCAATAACACGGTATAGAAATTATAGACGATGAAAAAGCGTAATTTCCATCGAATAATATTTGTTTCAAATCATAGATAGAATAATATTTAAACCACTGGAATTACCACAGTGGTTAAGAGAAAAAGGATAAAAACAAATACGTGATGACACGAAGTTCGATCTCTTGATCCTCTTTGTAATATTTTTATAAATAAAAAAAAAAAAATAGATATTTGTGTGATCTAGTTGTATTAGAAGACCGTACAGAAGGTGGAGATGTTGGTCCAATGAATGATGGTAGGAGTATCTGTAAAATTACTACAACGTCGATGTCAATATGCATTTCAATAAAGTGATAACGTCTACAATGGAAGGTTCATGGATTAGTCATAGTTTCGGTTCTTTAAAAATCCAATGAATTACAACCTTTTGATTTTACAAATAAACTGAATTTACCTTTTTCCATGTATGTCTCAACTCTCAAGTATTGTTTTAGTTTTAATTATATAACAATAAATTAGTTTATTTTAAAATATGTGAATTGATAATATTTTTATATTCTTATTTATTATGATTTTATTCATGTCATTCACTTATTTTTCATTTAAGTGTCACTACTACAAATTATTAAATTTCATGCAAATTTTCCTGCGAAAATTTTATAAAAATCTGCAGGAAACATGTTTCATGCAGAATTTTTTACAAAAATTTAGCTGCAGGTAAATCGTTGGTAGAAAATTACTTTCCGCGGAAAAAAAATTGTAAGAAGTTCCTGCAGATTTTCCTGTAGAAATTTTTCGCAGGAAATTTCTTGCGATTTTTTTCATCAAAAAATTTGCAGGTAAATACATTATTTTGGTAAATAAATTTGCAGGTAATTTTTCTACAAATTTTTTTCCCAGGAAATTTTACAAGAACTTTTCCTACAAATTTTCTTTCTATAGGTAAGTTTGTAGGTAATTTCCTTTCTTTTTTTTAAAAATATTTTGCAGAAAGATGAGGACTGTGGAAGCGGTGGAAGCGGTTGAACAATAAGCTTACTAAAAAAATTTCACTGACATTGGCAATTTCAAATTCAACTTCTGTTTGCTTATTGTGAAATTTTGGGCATATGTAGTATTTTATTCTTTAAGCTGCAGCCATTTGTAAACAAGACCAACCCCACATTTCATAGAGTAATTAAGGTTCTTAACATATAACTGCAATGTCAATCTATCTTAACTAAAAAAAACATATATATCTAGTCAAAAAATAAAGTATCTAGATTTAAAATCAAGTTAAAAGTAGTTGTCCGTAATGTGATTAAGCATCAACACCTATATTAAGAAAAACTCCATCCATTCTTCACTAAGGCTTTGTTCAATCACACCTACATCATAATAAAAGTAAAACCAAAAAAATATTTATTAGTCAAATTTCACATGAAAATTATAAATAAATCACAACAATTAAATAAAGTATATTAAATCAACACACCTATCCGATATGATCACTCTCTTCATCATCATCATCATCTTCACTTTCATTACTAAGTTGAGGTGATGAATATGGATGGGAAGAAGAGCCAACAAACCCCAAGTATTGCATTAAGGTGTGCACTTGGTTCCTAGTATCTTGTACTTCTTTCTTAGTAGCTTGCACTTCTTTCCTAGCATCATTTAATTCTTGTTTCATTTGTAGCTTCTCTTCCTCTTGTCTTTGTAGTGATTCATTTAATGTATGAATTTGATTTCTTAAATCATCAACATCCTCAATAGAAGACATTAATGATTGATTGGAAGATGTTACTAATATTTTTCCCATAGACCCAAGTCCAAAGACTTTTCCTTTTTTCTTTCCAATTGCATCTACCCACACATCCAAGTCAGAAGGCGTGTGATTTGTGGATGGTTGGCTATCAGCTCCATCCTCTCCTGGAGTAAATGTTGAGCTTTGAGAGGATAATTGAAACTTTCTTTTTTCAAACTTCTCCTACATCATAAAAAAATTCAATTAATAATCCTATGTAGTACATATTAGCTATAACACAATATAGCATTGGACTCTATTATTAATTACCAAATCAATCAATTATAACCATCAAAGCTAATATTTCAAAAATGGATGAGAAAATTATAGCAATTATTTCATAGCCTTCAAATGGTGCGTTTGTTGCTTCCATATATAAGTCACCCAGTGTACGATTATTATTGCAAAATATTTTTCTTCTGGAAAAGAGGATATGTAGATTAAAATAAAAGTAACAAAAAGGCAAGAGACAAAATTACCCCATAGGCACGTACTAGAAGATTATTTTAAAGGCAGCACAATGCACACACTACCATTACAGACTAGTTTTTTCTAATCAGTAATTGTGGACAGCATAAAGCTGCACTTGGCTGATCTCTATCCATAGTATATCTGAACATGTCTTCTACCAAACACTAAAGTCCTCTAATGCAAAAACAACCCTGAAATATGGGCAAACTCTGACTGGTAACTTAGGTAGATTCTTCTTGGGTCTTTGCATCCCCAACAAGTCACTAGTAAACAAAATCATTGGCCAAACAGGGTAACTAAGCATACCGTGGCAAATGTTTGCAATACATGAGCTTATGCCTAGAAAAGTTACTGGTTGAACTGAAACTCTTCTACTGAATTCAATAATTTACTACCAAGTCTACAATATGTTAATGGAAAGCTTTCACAAATAAAAATAATATTATATATATATATATATATAAATAACCATGATATTGATATGAAGTATTCACCACGAAAAACAATAATTAATCTCTATTGGAAATTGCGAGTGCATACAAAATAATATTATGTTTACTTCCTAATTTTTATTCCATCAAACAGACTTCCCTTATTTAGTATTTTGCACAAACAGATTGAACTCCTGCAAAATTTTTATCCCTCTTCCCCTCTTTCTTGTTGTTTCTTTCTCTTTCCCACCTAAATTCTATATCAAATTGCTATTGTATTGTTCATGATACACTTGCAATCATGTACATATAGCATAAGAATCAGATTTTATTTTTCTCATTGGCACGAGATAACATCAATACCAATCAGCCAGTGTTCAACAACTCACTCTAAAATCTAAAATGCATTTCCACTTTCCAAATTCCAAATGATAAAAAAAGAATTATCTAAAGCTAAAATTCTATATAAAATCCATTCATGCATGGGATCTGAAGAACAGAATATCAAATTATAAGCATTACAATTTTGCACCTAACATGATGGAAAATGATATTTCATATTAAGAAGATCATAATATATCTTCATACACAAACACACACAATCTCACAATGTCTTGCTTGATATAAAAATGGTGCCATAAAGCACATAAAGCCTCAAGACAAAACTCAACTATCACTAGAACCTATGTATAATATAATATAATATAACCAAAAATTGAATGCACAAAATAAGCATAGACATAAAAACAAACAATCACAACATAAAGAGGTTCAAAAATGCTCACTATATCAATACAATCTAATAAGAAAAAACAAAGATGAGGAATTTAAAACTTACATAAGCATATTTTGCATGAGGACCCACCCAACTATGATCTTTTTTTCGATGTGTACGAAAATAGAAATCACTCAATGATGGATTTTTCCCTTTTTCCTCCCTCTGACATAAATAAAATAAGCTTTAGTTCCATTACTCTTGAAAACTAAATTATAAAAATACAATAAATTAATAATACCACACTTATAATTAAAATTAATAATAAATTATAAGTGATCAAGAGCCAACATATATATTATGCAGATTTGATTGTTGAGTCATCCATTCCATGTACAGATTGGATTAAAATTAATACCACACTTATAATTAAAATTAATTATAAGTGATTGTCATCACTTATAATTATAAGTTTCTTGCAGGAATTCAAAAATGGTATGGAAAAAGCTTCGCCAATTACAAGTAATATCTGCTGAAACATTAATTTGAAACAAGCTCAAAAATAATTACATCTATTATTCAGCTGTAGGAAACTAGTAATCAAACATTATGTGTCACTGTTTACAGATTGGAAAACTGAAATCGATGTCATAGAAGTGAATAAACATGCAAAATCTACAGAAGAGGAGAACATATATGCATATAAGCAAACTGCAGTACATGTACCTTTATAGAGCGCGCACAATTTTTCAACTGTAGAATGATTTTCAACTGTAGAAAAAAGAAAAAGAAAAAAGAGAAGAAGAAACTGCATGAGAGAAATACTACTCATTAACCGTAGAATCAATCTCCTTAATTTGAATTATCAACTGCATGCTCATTCAAAACATTCCTTGACTTGAAAATTAGTAAAGTAAAAAATCAATTACACTACACAGATTAGAACAGCCAAAATCTTGGTAAAAGAAAATATATAAACCCTAGTAGAAAGAAAAATTAGGAAAACGAGAAACAAAACAAAAGGAGAGTTTGTCTTCTTCTTTACCTATGAAGTCACTGAGGCAATGCGACGGAGGAACGATCTTAAAAGGTGAAAGAAGAATGAGTTTCTCTATGCTACGCAGTGCGGTGCGGTGGATTTCTCATGTTTTTAGCGGTGGGTACGGTACATTCATAAGCGGTGGGTACGGTTCTGTGAGGTGGATTTCTCGTGGATTTCATAGGCTGTGTGTGGGTTTTGTTGTGCGATTTGAATTTTAAATTTTTTGTTTTTTAAATTAATAAAAAAAACTATAAAATAAATAAATTAAATTAAATATATTTTCCTGCTAATATAATTTATAAGAAAAATTACAGAAAAACATATTTTGACATTACTAAAAAATTTAACATTTCTTGCAAATTTATATTCTAAATAAAATTGGAAGGAATTTCTTGCGATTTTTTCTAGAAGTTTTTATTGGTAAAAAAAATCATAAAATTAATAATTTTGGTAGCAAATTTTATAAGAATTTTCTGCGAACTTAAAATCACAAAAATAGTCGTAACAATTTCTTGGAAATTTTTTTTAGTAGAAATTTTCGTAGCAATTTTATGCGAATATTTTTTTGCATAAAATTTTGTAGGAAAATGCTATATTTCTAGTAGTGTGTATGTTTATTGGGTCACTATTTAATCTCTAACAGACGAATCTATTTTGATTCTTAATCTACTTTTCTTTAGTTCGTTAATTGTTTAGGATGAATTTTTTCTGTTCTTTGTTCCAATTAAAGAATCTAACTTAGATTCTTAAAGTAAGAACTTGGTTCTTGTGAGTTTTTATAGGAAAATCACTAGTTCTACGAGGGCCATGTCCCTGCACTTCGGTAGTAAAAAATGTAATAACCAATTTTTATTGTAAGAATCCATACGAGAATCTTTTATTTGATATGGTCTAAATTATGTTAGTTGTTGAAAAAAATATTTATTAATTTATGAGTAACATCGTTAAATACAACTACTATTTATACGATTTAATTCCATTAATATTTTTGAAATAAAATTTTATATAATAACATCATTAACTAAAATTAACTTATTTAAAGATTTGCATGTTATTTCAAGAGAAGTAAATATGTTTTCTCATAATCTAGCTGATTGGCTTCTTCTATATGGCTCTAATGGAGTCCCTATTGTTTTAGAATTAAACTCATCTTTGTCTTTATATGTTTTCTTTGTTTCCGCTTAAAAAAAGACATTTTCAAAATAGTTTTCTAATGTAGCATTTATTAATATTTAATTTAATTAAATAATCTTTAAACTGAAACACGTGCTATTAAAATAAAAACTTAATTTTTCTAGTCCGAAATTAATTACTCTTAAATTTAATACACATTTTTTTGCAACAAAATTTAATAGTAACTCTTTTAACATAAAAAAAAAAGAGAAATGTTGAAAAACTACAAATATTCCTTTTGTCCCATAATAAATAATAAGACCATTGTCCAACTTCTCTTTGATGAAGTGTCTGTCTATCTCAATATGCTTGGTCTTGTCATGTTGAACTAGATTATGAGCAATGTTGATCATTGACTTGTCATAAAACAACTTCATAGGTAGTATGTTTATTGGGTCACTATTTAATCTCTAACAGACGAATCTATTTTGATTCTTAATCTACTTTTCTTTAGTTCGTTAATTGTTTAGGATGAATTTTTTCTGTTCTTTGTTCCAATTAAAGAATCTAACTTAGATTCTTAAAGTAAGAACTTGGTTCTTGTGAGTTTTTATAGGAAAATCACTAGTTCTACGAGGGCCATGTCCCTGCACTTCGGTAGTAAAAAATGTAATAACCAATTTTTATTGTAAGAATCCATACGAGAATCTTTTATTTGATATGGTCTAAATTATGTTAGTTGTTGAAAAAAATATTTATTAATTTATGAGTAACATCGTTAAATACAACTACTATTTATACGATTTAATTCCATTAATATTTTTGAAATAAAATTTTATATAATAACATCATTAACTAAAATTAACTTATTTAAAGATTTGCATGTTATTTCAAGAGAAGTAAATATGTTTTCTCATAATCTAGCTGATTGGCTTCTTCTATATGGCTCTAATGGAGTCCCTATTGTTTTAGAATTAAACTCATCTTTGTCTTTATATGTTTTCTTTGTTTCCGCTTAAAAAAAGACATTTTCAAAATAGTTTTCTAATGTAGCATTTATTAATATTTAATTTAATTAAATAATCTTTAAACTGAAACACGTGCTATTAAAATAAAAACTTAATTTTTCTAGTCCGAAATTAATTACTCTTAAATTTAATACACATTTTTTTGCAACAAAATTTAATAGTAACTCTTTTAACATAAAAAAAAAAGAGAAATGTTGAAAAACTACAAATATTCCTTTTGTCCCATAATAAATATTGTGTTAGAAGAAAAATAAGCCCCAAAAATAATGTCATGTTAGCTCAATATAATTTAAATGATTTCTTTTTATTTATACCAATAATAATATCATTTAACAAGTAGTTATAAAAAATTAATCACAAAATTAATTTTATAAAATTAATATTTCCTTTCATCTATCATGTATAAATTTGTATATAAAAAAATATTTAAATTCATGTATATTAAAAAGTAGTTAAGTTCATTTAATTTTATTAATTTCATGTAATTTACTTCTTCAATTTCTCTTAATAATATTTATTAAAAATAATAACCATAATTAGTTTAATAATTTTTTTGAAATAATAACATTAAATGGATCAAATTAGTTAGAATTTGTTTATATTTTGTTCCGGCCAAGGGATGAACTAGGGTTTTTTTCCTAGATCAAGCCTTAGAGCCAGAGCATTCAAGAGTGTAATCTGCCTTCTTAGCCTTAGGATTTTAGGTTTTATGGTGTGTCGTCGATGGGCCTCTTGGGCCCCGAGAATGAAGGGACCTTCCTAACCGTTCTTATCAGGAGGGCGTGAGATAAGTGGGGGCGAGTTTAGTCGGATTCCGACCGACTGGGCTATACCGAGGGCCCATTCGGGTAAATGCCGAGTAATCCCCTTATAGGTGAGGGGAATCGAATTAGCTAGTCTAGTCGGGTTATGACCGACTAGGTCTGTGCTGACCCTTCAATCGGGTTAATGCCGAGTAGAGGATCCTGCGCGCCCTATTACTGAAGGGAAAACCAGGTTGGATTAGGACCGGGACGGTACACTTGCCTTCCAGCCTTGAGCCTATAAGGCGAGAGGGCTTAGGGCCTGGCGACCTAGTCAGGTATTGGTCGAGCAGAAGGATGTAGTCGCCCTATTGCCGATAAAGAAACCAAGTCGGATTACGACCGAGACGGTACACTTGCCTTCCAGCCCTGAGCCTATAAGGCGAGAGGGCTTAAGTAGAGAGTCAAATCGGATTCCGATTTGGACGACACACTTTCTCGGGTCTTACTCGACATGGGTAGCTGTGAGCGCGACATCCCGATGCGTGACCTTTCGTTTGACGACGTGAGGGACATGCATTTATTACGTAGTTGTTTTTTGTAGGGGGTTACATAATTACACTGCCACGTGGCAATGAAACTTAATTGCATTTAATGTACGAGACCTCTTCACCAGTAGCTGTATCGTCTCTCGTGTGAAAGGACGCGAAATGCCGCATTTCATTCGTGGCTTCTCGCGTACGCCTCCTTGCCCTTATAAATAGACATACCTTACGAACCTTTTTCCATTTCTCTGTCCTTTCCTTCTCCCTTTGTGCTCCGCGTCCTCCTCCGTGATTCTTCGAGGCTCATTGGGATTCTCCGGTGGCACGCGGCGGTCTACGGCGGCGCTTCGAAGTTTATTTGAGTGGGAGGTTGTTGTGTGTCCCTAGGTACGCCCATCTAAACCATTTGGCCATTTTTATTTGTAGTAAAGCCTGAGTTGTTATTTAAGTTAGGTTTATTCTTATCATGGCGGTCGTGAACTATGAGGAAATGTACAAGTGGGTGAGAGATGATGTTTTGCGTTGTGAGTCCTTGATAAGTTCCTGGGATGCCATGGAAAGTTTCTGTAGAGAGCACGTGGTGTGTGGTGAGGGCGACCATATAATTATTTGCGAACCCTGTGTAGATAGGGAACCTGTGTGTATTGAGGGGAGTTCGATGGAGAAATTTACCTTTTGCTACTGCACTTTAATTTCCAAGTTGAAGGTGAGGTGGCCTCTTACTAGTTGTGAGAAAGGAGTGCTTCAAGCCTTAGATGTGGCCCCTACTCAATTCCACCCCAATAGCTGGGCTTTTGTCCGAGGGTTTGAGGTTCTATGTCTGGGCTTAGATATAAACCCGACCGTGGATAAGTTCTTCTACTTCTTTGAAAGTCGCACCAATAAACGTAGTAGTTGGGTGTCTGTACATGGGGTGTCAAATCGGGGGCTCTTGACTTTGTTTCAATCGTCCTATAAGGACTTTAAAAGATCATATTTCCGAATACGTTGTACCTCGGGTAACGAACATGTGCTAGAAGGGTTCCCTTTATATTGGAAACAAAAGACGGTATCCTTTGGGGGGCTATCTGCCGAGAAGCTCTCCGAGGCCGACCAGGAAGACGTTAGAAAACTGGAGGCTCTCAAAACAATTTTCAACACTGCAAAACTTCTAGATTTAGAAAATAGACCCAAGGAACTGAAAATTTACATAGGTACTCGGTTTTTTGCCGATCACCCTTTTCTAATAATGTTTTGTCCTCGTTTTTCTTGTTGACTAATATTCCATTTTGCGTTATTTTAGATAAAATGGCTAGCATGAGCAATCGGGAGTTGATGAAGTTATGGAAGCAACAAGAGGCTTCCAAAGCTGTCGGAACCGCTGTGGTCAGTGAGGGGACGGACGAGAGGCTTGGGGGGTTCTGCTCCGAAGAGTGTAATCAGCGAGAGCCCCCATAAGCGTCGCCGGGAGACCGAGGCACCCGTTACTCTCGTGAATTTGGAGATCGAGATTGGGGGAGACGAGGCCGAGAAGGACGTTGAGGTTCAATCGGCAGAGCGAACTATAAGTATGTGCATTGGCGAGAATTGGGAGCCTATTGATCAAGGAAATGAGCAGGGAGAGTCCCATCTTTTTGGGATGAGAAGTTTAACCATTCCTCTCATATCCGTCATACCGATTTGTTGGAAGGGGATAAGGGCGACCTAGAGAAGATGAGCGCCTTCTCTATTGCCAAGGGAGTG